CATTCAAAATGACGTACCAAAGGATACTGGGTTAGAAAAGTAAGAACTTTGAAAAGAGAATGGATACTAAAGAACAGAGAAAAGCTTCCTACAATGGTAAAGTCAATGCTTTTGACTCTGCAGGCACAGAAAAGAGTAGGTATAAAGGTAAAATTGACCCCGTGACTGGAGTTGGTTCAGTGACTGCTTCTATTCTGCAGACTTCAAAGAATCTTCGCTCAGAACTTCCATCTGACAGCTGTGCTAGGTAGCTGCTCTTTAATCTCCCAGATACACGTTTTACCATTCTGCATGCTGTATTCTTCCCTAGGAGGCTGACCTGCATGAATTACATCAATAGCTGCTATTTTTGTTCCCCCGATCTGACTGAGGAGAATTACTAGCAGGAGATAGAGGGAAGAAGATTGAGTATGTATTCTCTTTCTTTTCCCTGTCACCTATCACTTAGGCTCTCTTAACCCTTCAGTGAGGCCACTGCTCTCCTTCAGACAGGCAACTCTACATACCTCACACCTGCCCCTGAACTTCAGGGCCCAGGAAATGGCAAGTGTTGGAGCCCTAGTAGGTTGGGTTACTGTGCTACTTGCATTCCCTACATTTATGCTTTCTGTAAATGATACCTTTGTAATTAAACCTTCTTCCAATCACTGTCACGTTACCCATTAGTATCTATTTCTTACTGGGACTCTGATTAGTGTGATGTTCATCCAGAAGCCTGTTAGGCAGTAAATTCTGGAGAGTAAGCTGCCAGACTGAGCCTATCATGCCCCTCTTAAACCTTTTGGATCTCCCTATCAAATGGTTTTTAACTTCTGCTCTACTGTGTAGTCTTTAAACTTCTTTTTCTTTCTGTTTCACATTCATCAATCTTGTCTACCCTCATTGCCCCCAACACACATTCTCATTCTCCCTCTGTCTCTCTCTCTCTCTCTCACCCCAAACTTTTCTGCCTGGAGAAATGCATAGCATAATCACTTTTTGTATGATTTAAATTACTTTAATATATACAGATATTTTAAGGGAAACTCAATAAAAGAACAGACTCTAATGAAGAGCCAAGAATGGGAAAATGGATTTTCCCTTTCCTTGATACATCCTAAATTAAACCATCTCAGCCTAGAAGATCTTCGGCCAGGGAAGCTTCTGAGTCAATAATGTATTCCTGCTGCAGCTCATCCTTTAAGTTGAATAAAGAGCTGGGAATATTTGCCTTTAATTGCTATGTTCATGAAAGATTTGTTTTGGGAGACACTTTGTGTAGTCAGATATACTTGGAAGTCACTTATCCAGTGTAGTAGTAGGGTTTTTTATTTTTTTTTTATTTTTTTGCCACCAGCTCACAATAGAAGCTTTTTATTGATAATGAAAACTTGGCCTTCAGCTTAGGCTTGTCTCAAATAGATCTTCTAACTTAAATTAACCCATTTATAGTAACCTGTGTTCTGCGACATGATGTTACTTCTTTTCCTTCTTGCACCTCCTGTTTCCTCCCCATGTCTGGTTGGCAATTCTACTTTTCTTCTTCCCAGAGTCCTCTCTGTGCCTGGAAATCCCACACTATACCTCCTGCCTAGTTATTGGCCATTTAGTTCTCTATTAAACCAATTAGATGGTGATGTGGCAAAGACACCTCTTCACAGTGTGCAAAATGATTATTCCACAACAGTCTAGGCTTCCAATGAGCATTTGCAGAATTCTATTTAGATCTTGTTTCCATTCTCCTACTTCAAAGCATCACTCAGTGGGCCCAGGTCCTATATAAACAAACAGAACAATTTATAGCAAGATTCAACTTCCTAAAAGGAAGATGCTGACCATGGTTGGGGACAATGCCAGAAGACTGTGACTTCAAGAACAGCCTTGGGATACAGAGCAAGTTCCTGTTTAGAAAAAGAAGTGAAACAAAGTGACAAAGTAAGGCTGCTATGAGAAAGCAGTCTTTTGAGAAAATGGGGAATGGATACTGGAAGGAGATACACCCTCATCCCTGTAGTTGAAACCCTAAGAGTTAGAAACAATATTGAGCAGAAAACCTATCTTGAACTAATAGGTTATCAAGCCTTTCTCCCAATGGCTTGCTGCCCAATATCCCTGTGGGGGGGAAAATCAAGGATAAGATTCAGAAAGACAAATTCATACATTTCTTTTTAATTTTATTTATTGTTGTCACCAATTTACCAAGACAATAAATATTTTCTACATGAAGACCCAGAGTAAATGGATGCCTAAGAAAGATTACTTTAGAATAATCATTTTAGAGGAGTGCAAAGTGAAAAATCATACACGAAGTATAGCAAGAACAAAACCATGAAGCCATGTAGAAGTAGTATTTCTCGTTGACAATCAAGTAAAACCAAGTGCATTGCAACAGATGGCATACAAATCAAATCCTGGTACAGCACAGTATGGGAGCCTGTTTAAATTAATCAACTAGAAGTTTATTGAACAGTTAGACTCTCACATGAACGGACACACTCATTAATCCAGTTGTGTATAATATCCAGTTTTATATAAGAAAGCTAGTTTTTCAAGTTCCAGCTGACAGTCCAAACTGTCTTAGTACTTTTCAATACTTCTTGGAAACTGTGGACATGATATCTGTCACTGAATGAGAAACACATGACAAAATCATTTCTAATTTCTTACCTAATAGTTAAACATATTCAACAGGACCATATATTATGTATAAAATATAGCACCAGTAGTTGGATTCCTGAGAATTGTTAACTATTTTAACTCAAGTTTGACATACTTCAGAATGTTTGGGATGTGGTTTGGGATATAAGTTTTTCAGAAGATGGTACTTGCTGGTAAGCAGCGGCTCTGAGGAGAAAGCACTGGACCTGGAGTCAGATGCAATGCAGGTTGTTTTCTCTAAAGAGCCTTGCTGGATCTGATGGTGTATACATTTTTTTGCTATTAAATCTTGAGAATTTGATTGAGGTCATTTTTAAATGATCTCAAGTTATCTTTTTCGTTTCCTTAGTCTCCTGTTCAAAGACTAGGAACCTGAACTTGTTGAGGAAGTAGGTCCAGAGGAGTCAGTTTCTTTGTGTCTGTGTGTTATGTAGCCCTGCTGTCCTGCTCACCTTCAGTTGCTTGTTAAAAGCAGTCAGCCCCTCTCTAGTCTATGGAGAAGATTTAGAAGGGGCCTAGAAAGGACATTCCCAAGAGCAATCACAGTCCATTCTGCCACGAAAGCCAGAGAAAAGCACCGTGTTAGGAGCTAGATCCTCATGTTCTAGCTCCCAAACTCAGCTGGCTCAAGTTCCCAAGACTAAATGAGTCCTAAATGAGTTCACTTAACCAAATGTTGCTTTTGTTCTCTTCTACGCTACACGTGTTTATATCTCCACATCAGTGTCTGGCCATAGGAAACCACAAGCTAAATCTGTTCCAAAGTGATCTTAACAACTTCCTCTCCAATCCCTTTCTCTTTTGCACCTAGGCAGGATTAACAGCATCACTAGCTCACTGGTTTTAGCCAAGCTCAAAAGTCTGGGGTCATTTTATATCCTTCCTTCCTTCAGTTCCTGTCTTTGTCTTGTCTTCTCTGTCTTCGGTTCATCCCGTATATTATTACTGCCCAAGTGCTCTTGATAAAATGCAAATGTGCTCACTGAGATGCCCTGATTACAACACTTTAATGACTCCCTTTCACTCAACATCCCTGAACACTCATGCAATCCACTCTCCCAACAGTTCCTCTGAGCTCTCATGTGAACTGTTCAGAATTACCAAAGCACGAGATTTCTTCGTGCTTGTGGCTTTTAATGTGTAATTTCCTCTGATACTTTCTGGGCCAGAGAGAGTGATTGCCCCTCATGTTTCCCACAGCATTTCCATATACTACATTTATATCTCTTCTTCACTTGTCTTCCCCATCAGTCTTCCAGTTCCCTGTTTTTGGAGAAACTAAACATTGTAGTGTAGACTCAGACTCTGCAGGCTTGTAAGTGGAATTTTAGTTTGCTTTGGACCCTGAGACACTCACTATGCTAGTCTGTAATGCTTGCCTCCTCTTTTTGTTCCAGCCCTCCCCCTGGTGGAGGCTTTAAGAAGCAATTGGAATGGTCACATGGCCAAAGGAAAAAACAAAGCAACTTGGCTGATCCACAACCTGGATAAACATCTGCCTCATGATTTTTAAAGTAAATGCAAAACTGGCTAATGAGCATTGGCTTCAGGGAGGCCTGGCAGGAGCTTTCTGTCTGGCCATGTATTAGTTAGAGAACCCTAATTTCAATCCCTAAGGTTGTAGCTTGGGGGGTCAAGGCACCCATTCCTGCTGATCTGAAAGAAAACCACACAACTATCAAGCAAATGGGCCAAGAAGATTTGACCAAAGAAGATTTTTCATATTTTCTCTTCTGCTAGGAGTTGAAAAAAACTTGTTTGCAAGAAGTTTTGCTTTTGCAATCAGAGCAATCAACAACCATCAAATCCCTATACTAACACCTCTCCCCAGCTGCACTACTCCCCCCACAAAAAGTCTCACAGAAGGTCTTCATCTCTAGCTCAGATCAATAACCTGTCAGCATTGCTTGTTGTCCTGGCGGAAAATAATGGAGTCTTGAATCAGTATTGAGTCACCTATGGGAGTCAGCCAAATTTTCAAGCCCCCTCCACATATAAAGTTCTGTAGGGAGAGTGGCTTCATGTATAGTCTGGGTTTGTCTGGCATTGGTGCTTTGAGAAAGGTGGTTTTAAAGGTGTGTGTGTGTGGGGGGGGTAGAATATCCACCTGGCTGGGAATAATATCACCTCTAAAACCAACACATTCTTAGAAAACATGATAGACATTGTTCTGACAATGCTGAATGCTATCAGATACTGTTTGTGTATAGAGTGAGACTTCTAGCAGCAAGAATAGGCCTGAATTTGAAGGGAAGAAGAGGAAATTAATATAGCTTATTTGTCATCGGGAGAGATGACCTTAAAAAAACAAAAACAAAAACAAAACAAAAAACAAAAATAAAAAAAAAAAAAACAAACCAAGCAGCTCCCACAATATCACTTCATACACACATCAAAGGCAAGGAAAGATGATCTGCTATCTTAGGCTTCCATCTGGTTGTGTCTTAACTGAAGAAAAAGGAATCGAGGTGCTACCAGGACTAACACAAAACAGAACCAGAACTGGTGGGAATGGCCCCTGGAGTTCCTAGGTTTCTATGTTCAGGGTAAAGACTATTCTCCCCACAAAACGATCATTGATGACATCATTTACGATGCTTTTGCCCTTCAGCTGGCATTGTACAGGCACTGCTTGGTTCTTCACCACATCTGTAAAATGCATTGCCACCAGGGGGGAGGTGTAGTTAACCTGTAGGTGAAAGAACAATGAATTCTAAATGGGCCAAGGATGGGGGTGGTCAAGACAGGTCCGGGTAACCTCTGCAGACTTTATGAAGCCATGCCCCAAATGGTCACAACAACCAACATGCTTTCCCTGCTTCAGAGAAATTACACGGCTCTCTCATAAGTCAATGTCAAGATGCCTGACTCTCCTCTGGGGGGAAGCCAGTACTGACTCAGAATGATTTGATTTTATGGATATCAGACCATAAATCAAACCAAAACTAGTATCCCTCAAGATCCTATACTGGAGATGAAGCCTGCATTGGCCCACAGGAATGTGTGTTTACTTGGACATTAAACATACTGTTAATCATCTGTCTCTCCCTGGCTTGGTTGCTAATTACCTGTGTGACTTTGGGTAAGTCCTTGCCCATTCTGAGCTCCAATTTTCTCATTTGAAAACTGAAATGTTTAGATGAGGCCATATTTGACAGTCTTTTTTTTTTTTTTTTTTTTTTTTTTTTTTTTTTGGTTTTTCGAGGCAGGGTTTTCGCTTAGTAGCTTTGGAGCCTGTCCTGGAACTAGCTCAGTAGACCAGGATAGCCCTGAACTCACAGAAGTCCACCTGCCTCTGCCTCCCAAGTGTTGGGTTTAAAGGTGTGCACCACCAACACCCGGCCTTGACAGTCTTTCAGATTTAAAAGATCAGTGGTTGTAAGGAATTATAGTTTATAATTATTCATCTGTCTGTTACTGGCACTGCTCCCCAATTCTTACCCATCTCAAGCATCCCATCCTTGTCTCTGAGCCCTTTATGAAAGAAGAGGAAGAAAGAAGGATACAGCTTACGTGAGTCAGTTTGCCATAGTAAGGGTAGTAGCGGAGGTCAAAAGAAGCTGACTCTGGGTAGTAATTGATGGATCGAATGTCGTTTTCATCACCTTTCTGTAAGCAAGAGCAGACATAGGTGAGATACTGGGCTACAGAGTGAGTTAGTGTCTAGTCTAAAGGGACTCGGGCTCGGGTAAAATCACTGTGTGACTCTCAACCTATTGTCCCAAACCTAAATTCAGAACTGGGTAGAGCTCAAGCCTGATTTGTCCTCAGAGAAGCATTTCTAGGGTGTGACTGTGTCTTGGCTTTACAGTTTAAAGAAAATCTAATCATGTAGAAAGCCTGGGTTATTGAGGGAAAAGTCACTTGTTATGGCTCTGTTCTGGTTTCTTGGGTCCTAGGTAGAAAAGCATCAAAGGCCTTTGAGTACTTGGTGCTGTCCTAGAAAGTGCCTATGATTGTAACCTATCTCCAGAGAATCACAGTATGGGAACCTGCTTTGGATTTTGCAGCTGAAGGAGGTATACATTAGGGAACATTTCTTAAGTCCTCATTGCAGATTCAGTTCTATTGGAAGTCAGACCAGGTACACAGGAACCTGATGGATAGCCATACCGTCTGTAGTTAGCTTATCTGAACACATGCTTCTGTCCACAGAATTCAGACAGTAAGCAAGAGGAACCAAATAATGGGAATGGTTAAACAGGATAATGGAGTGCCTATGAGCTATGGCTGTTACAACAAGGGCAGTTTGGAACCCGTACGGAAAAAGGGTGCATCTCTACTAGGCAATCACTCATTAGGATCACTTCTGTCAATATACTATATACTATATGCTGCAATCTTGTTTGGTAAAATGTGAGTACCCTATAGTTCAATTTTGGTTATTACATCATCCTGCTTGATTGCTACCAGTGGGTATGGAGTTGCCCAGTATTGATAATTATAAAGACTGTTAGTGTTTCTATTTTTTAAAAGGATCATTCTCAGTAAGGTTCAGTATATAACTTGGAAAATGAACAGCTTACATTAGGGAAATGCAAATAGAAGTTGGCCTAATTAATATGTTAGATTAAGAGCTAGGGATGTGGCTCAGTGGCACAGCACTTGATGTTACTTTAGACTGCACTGGTCTTCATGACTTATTCATATCTTCACAAACGAATGAATTTATCTTCAATCCACTAGTTTGTAGTCATACCCCACATGTGACTTTATGTACACACACATACATCTGAACAGACTGAATGCTCTTCTCTTCTCACCTTGTTCAGCTGGCAAATATTGCCTGACCTTAGAAGCTCAGCCTCTTTTTTTACCACTCCCCACATGACTCCGACCATTCTCTCTTCGGGGTCCCTGCAGTACCTTTCATTCTGCCTCTTAATACTTCTTGGCCCTGATTTCAGTTATGTTTACTTAGATATCCCCGACAGCTAGCTAAATACCTAGGATATAACACGTGATCAATAAACACTTGCCAAATGCGGTTGAGTGGCAGACTGAGTACTGCCTTTTCTGATCTGCCCCCATGAAGACTAGAGTTGTCTGCTTTATTACTAGTTCTGACAACGACTATTTTTGTAATGTTTGTAAGACAACTGTCCAAGGCTAGGGGGATGCAGATGATGTCACTGAACAGAAGGGAGCTACTGCCTGTTTAAGAAGCAATGCCAAAATTGAGGGGTTTTGCCTACAAAGGAACTAATTGGTGTAGATGAGATAGGAGTTAATGGTCCCTTGAAGGACAGTTAATTAGCATATTAATGGACTTCTGTTTATACTTCTCTTGTAGTCATTTGTTATTGCAACACCCAATACCACTGGTCATTGCTGTAAAATGTAAAATTCAGTTTTAAAATCAGGGACTAATGACTCTAATGAAAGCTGCTTGTTTAGTTCAAAGAAACAAGCCATTAGAGCTGAAAGCAAAGAGTGTAAACAGAATCCCAATTAATGTCTTGGCACAGTGTTTTTCCATGCTATGGCCTCTAGCTGAGGTTCTCTCTCTGGCTTTCATAGGTGCAAATCACACACACACACACACACACACACACACACACACACACACACACACGTGCATGAACACATATTGAATGCTTTCTGCAAATAAGAAACCCTTAGTTCATTAAAAGAGGGGATAATTATGAAAAATACTAGTGTTTTTCCTACACACCACCCATATAGAAGTACTTGGAACAGAAGAACTCTCTGTTTGCCTGAAACAAAACTGTTAACTATACTTACTCAAAAGGATAGTTTACCTGAACTTTGCAGGACACCTTAACAGGATCTCCAAGCTCAGGCCGAAAGCCTACAATCTAGTGAAATAAAACCAGTGATTTATTTATTTATTTATTTATTTATTCATTCATTCATTCATTCATTCATAATTATTATTATTATTATTTGCCTTTTCAAGACAGGGTTTCTCTGTGTAATAACTCTGGTTGTCCTGGAACTTGCTTTGTAGAGCAGGCTGGCCTTGAACTCACAAACATCTGACTATCTATCTCTGCCTCCCAAGGGCTGGGATTAATGGTGTGTACCACCACCACCTGGCCTATTTCTTTCTTTCTTAAGAAAAAGATTACACAGCAAAAATGGATTTTTTTCTCCCTGCTTTTGTTTCTCATTCTTCACAAATAATTTCATCTATGCCCCCTTTTAGAAATGCTACAAACAACTCCAAAGTTACACAGCCCTGCTTGCTCCTTGACATATTTGTGTCTTAGGTCCATACACAGAAAAAAAAAGCTGCTGCAAAATAACCAAAACTATGTAAAGAACTTTCTAGTTTCACTAAGACTATATTTGGCAAAAGGTTCTGTCACTCTGTAAGGAAGGCAAGGTTTTTTAAAAAGGTACGTTTTTTAAAATTATTAATTTATATTTATGTGTGTGGGTGTTTGGCCTGCATATATGTGTGTACACCTTATACATGCCCAATGCCTGCAGAGACCAGAAGAGAGTATTGGATCCCCTGAGACCCAGAGTTACAGACTCTGGGGTGAGCTGCCATGTGGAAGATGGGAACTAAACCCAGGTCCTCTGTAAGAGCAGCCAGTCCTCTTAGCCACTGAGCCATCTCTTTAGACTGGAACAGTGCATTTTTAAGTGACATGAACACATAAGAATTGCTCTCCATCATGTCCCCATGACAACCCGGTGTTCCAAACATCTCAGTAATCCCATTTTATTTTTGAGTCAGAGTCTGGCTTACATCTTGAAAACCTTTTACCTCTGCCTCCTGAGTGCTGAGATTAGAGACACACTCCATTACATTCAACTAGTGGCCCTCAAGGGGCGGGTTTGTGCATTGGAAAGGACACTAGGAAAGATTCAGGAAAATATGAATTTGTCTGGTTGTTTGTATTTTTTATGCTATGGCTAAAAATGGCCAAACCTGTAGTGTGAGAATACCAGAGTGCAACAGAAATGTGGTTTCCACACTCTCCTACCCTACTCATCCATTCATCATCAACAGATCCCAAGGGCTAAGATACCCGGTTCATCTTGAGGAGGATGCAAGGCTGTCCAGTAGAGTATCCAAAAGTAGGGTCTTCCAGCCCAGAGCAATTCTTCAGGAAGGAGCGCTTAAATTGGCAGGCCTTCTTGTCCTCATCTTCATCTCCATCTTGAATGAAGTACTGTCCCGGAGGACAATCTACATTCATTTCCTCTTGAAGACTGTCATTATAGCCTACAGCATATGTGGGTGGCAAAGTGTCATGTTAGAGAAGTGCTAGAAGGGAAAGTCCATGCTTTTGGTGCTTTTCTCTAAGTCTCTTCACATATGCTTGTAATCCATCAGAAGTTCTCTTGTCCTACCTTAATCCCGTGGACTGGCACTAGGTACCTGAGGGATATTCCTAGTATCATCCATCTAGATCAGTGGTTCTCAACCTTCCTAATGTTGAGACCCTTTAATACAGTTCTTCATTTTGTGGTAATCCCCAACCATAAAATTATTTTCATTGCTACTTGGTAACTGTAATTTTGTTACTGTTTTGAGTCATAATGTAAATATCTGGTATACAGTATATCTGATATGCTATACCTAAAGGGGTTATGATCCACAGGTTGAGAACCACTGCTCTAGGAAGCCTTCTTGTCTCTAAGCCCACCTGATGGTATAATCCCTTGCTTCTTTTTTTCCTTAGAACTTTCAAGTGTCCATTTCAGGGTTATATATTGATATACATTGATCATCTTATAATTTTTCTCTATTTCCCATTATTTCCTTTCAATATGTCAAACAGCAAAATTGGAGTGGCCATCCCTTCTATTCTGAGAGAAAAATGGGTCTGTATCAGTAGATTTTGGAAGAGGGGCTGCATCGTATCAAGGCATAGTATATGTCAGGAATCTGTTTCTAGGCTAAACTTCCTAAAGTTCAAATTGGGAAATGTCTCCCTTTGATGTCAAGAACAGGTGGCTGTGTGGAGGGAATAGAAGGACTATTAAAAGAGGGGAGGAGAGGAGAGAGAGAGAGAGGAGAAGGAAAAAAACCAGCAACTATTCAACCTCTAAAGAGGCAAGTTACCACTGCAAGGGGGAAGTTTACATTGAAAGCTAGAGGTTAACGACAACTATAGGGGCTCTATCAAGAGAGTGAGGGCTTCTCTAAGTCTGAGATACTTGGAGTTCTGGTCCTTTTATGTTAGACAGTTTGTCCCAGTTACATGTCTCAAGACAGAGAACTGAGGCTATTCGTGTGTTCACTATTTGAGCCGTCAGATTCCATAAAACTAGGCTTTGGAAATTTACTGCATCATTCTAGATGGTGGAGCTTGGTGAATCCTCTTGTAGCCAGACATGCTGTCCTGTCTGAAATCACTCACTTTTTAAAGAAAAGACTGTCCACCTATGGTCCACCAGAGGTACAAATCAGAAAGGACTGAGGTTCCACATCTAGACAGTCTGTGACTTGGATATAATGTTATTGAGATGTAACTGGTAATTTTATTTTATTTCTTAAAATTCCTCAACTTTTAAATGTTGAATTGCATTTAAGTTAGTATAGAAAAATAGGGTTCATTATAGTATTTTCACATATAGATACCATTTTGTCTTTATTTCTCTCCCCCATCCATTGGGAATTTTATTTGCAGTCCTGGGCCTTGTATATAACAGAAAAATTCTCTACCACTAAGCTATTTTAGATACACACTAAGTATGACTACATTTTTTATTTTGACAAAACTACATTTAATTCAAGGATTTATTTTAATCTTTTTAAATGAATAAGAACTATGTTCAAATAATAATTTTTAAAATAGAAACTGCACTGGAATTGCTGAGCATTTTTCTTGAGGTAGTTCTATTAAAATTGTGACATGGGTGTGGCATTTTCTGCAAAATTCCCATCCTAGAAATGAAACTGATGCTCAGGGATATCTATTTCAGACAGTTCCTTTTGGGAAAGACATATTATCTATTATTTTTTCTTATTTTCATTCATATGTACTATGTATGTGGTGTGTGTGTTGCAAATGTGTTACATGTGTTGTATGTCCATGTGGAAACCCAAGACTGGGGTTGGGAATCTCCCTGACTTGCTCTTCCACTTTATCTATGGAGGCAAGCGTATTTCAGTCAGACACAGAAATTAACGTTATGGCTAGTCTCACTAGTCAGCCTTCCATGTCTCTGCCTTCTGAAGCAGCAGTAATAGATTATCTCCTATATCCATATATCATATGTGAATTCAGAAGACCCAAACTCTGATATTGCTTGCTTGGCAAGTGGCAAGTGCTTAATCCCTGAGCCATCTACTCTTCAGAAGTAACCCAGTGCCTTCCTGTTGTTCCCTGCCTTCATCTTCATGTCAAAACTGGTGTTTTCCCATCTACGATCTTGTTGCAGGGATTTCCTCCGCAGAAAGTCTGGCAATATGCACATTTGAAATAGCTCACAAGCATTTTTTAAAGAAAGATTCTGTGCTGACTAAGATGCCCAAAATACTTTTGTGGTTCAAAATAGAACTACAGGGACCAGAAAGAAGCCAGCTCTGTCATTCTACAGGTGCGCACTCTGAAGCTGTCTCACCCCAAATAGCAGTAAGTGTTACTAATACAAGGCTGAGTTTAACTCCCGCTTAAATGGCAAGAGCATAGTTAGGAGAGATGACATTTCTCAAGCTTAAAAGTGCATACAAATCGCCTAAAATTTTTGAAATGGAGACTGCTTCAAAAGCTATGGGTATGGTCTGAGATCCTACCAACACCTGTGTAATGCCCATGCTGCAGACCCCAGGCTACTACTTTTGAGTAGCAGACGGCACCAAAACATATGGGTTCACAAAGTGACTCAGCTGCCAGGAGATTGTGATCTAGTTCCTCGGTCTGAGCTACAATTCTCTCAAAAAAAAAAAAAAAAAAAAAAAAAAAAAAAAAAAAAAGGACAAATTATTCCTGGTGAAAATCGAACGACAAAATGTACATGTTTAAGAGTATCACTTCCAGGCCAAGAGACCATTCCCCCTAAGCAACACATATTCTACTAGCTTCCTTCACTCCCATCCCATTTCTGCCAGGCCAGGCTATCCAAATCAGTCTAGCTCAGTGTCCCTATCCACAAAATTTAGGGGCAGCAATGCAAACTTCAAGAGATATTCATTTATGTATTTATTGTGAGATGGTTGTCTTCCTATATAGCTCAGGCTGGTTTGGAACTCCAGAGTCCAAGTTATCCTCCTAACCTCAAACTCCTAAATGTTGATTTTACAGGCATGTGTTATCATTTCCAAGTTGGGGTTCTTAGTTACTTCTCTGTCGCTGTGATAAAATACCCGACAGAAGCAAATTCAGGGAGAAAGGGTGCATTTTGGCTCACGGTTCTGGAGGGCTACAGTCCATCATGACAAAGAGCGCATGGCTGCAGGAAAGGCATGGTGGCTGGGTGGTCACATTGCATCCATACTCAGGAAACAGAGTGAACAGGAGTGAGGGCTGGCCGTAAGGCCTGAAGGGTTGCTCCCAGGGACTCACTTCCTCTGGAGCTTCTCTCTCTCTCTTAAAGATTCCACAGTCTACTACCACCTTAGCTTTCATGGGGTGAAAAACAAAGCCATCCATTTGTCCTGGAAAGTGTACCTGAGAACACTACAGACACAGGGATTCTCAAAATACTTGCGACCAAAATGCTAGTCAGAGATTTAGTTCTCTCACTGCTTTCTAAATTGCTGTTACAAAAAGACACTTTCCCTCTTCAAGATAGCTCATCTCCAGATTTCTCTTACCCTGATAAGGTGTAGGAGGCGGGAACTTGGAGAACACTCCCCGCACTTTACCTCGCCGTTTTCTCCCTTAGAATTACCTTTTACAAGAGCTCACTCAGAAAGATGATCACCTGGATGTGCCCTAGATTTAACTGGGTGCTGGACGGTGTTCATGAAGAGAAAACAAGCTGTGTGCCTTAAAGAGCTCACATTGGGCAACACGCAGTCAGAGAATTTTTAAAAAATCATATAAAAAGTGCAGGCAGGCATGCAAAAATGACAGGACCATGGTGGGTAGAAGTCATTACATCAGATTTCTGGGCCACATGGATTTTGAATATTGGATTCCCACCCACTAATTTTCTAAAGAGATTTCCACTCTACAGGGGAACTTACCCTGGAGAAAGCCATTTAAGCTAATCACATAACGCTGCCAAGTTTCAGGTTCGGAAACGTTGAAGTTGAAGTTAAGGCTATGAGCGAAGGGTCTGATCATAACTCCTGGCAATGAAAACAGGTCTTGGATATATTAACCCATTCTTGTACTTTTTTCTATATGGGTTCCCCTTGACACCACCCCCTGGCAATCAAAATGAAAAGGACCATAATTTGCCAAGTACTGTTTCACTTTTCCTCTTAATAATTGAATCTCTAAGTCATTACCGGGAAGAAGCAAAGTTAATTGAGGCTGAACATGCTGTGCAAGCAGATTTCTGTCCAGAGAGTTCTGACAACGCAGGGCATTTGGGCACACTCACCAGGAGGTTTCACCTGCTCGGTGAAGGTTGGCATGTAGGGACTGATGGCTAGGAACAGCATGTACAAGAATAGGGTGATCACAGCAGCCAAGGAGGCATAGAAGAAGAAGTAAATGACTAAAATCAGACCTGTAGAGCAATTGAAGATGACAGTAGTCAGTGCTTGCCAATAAGTCCCACCTTTCCACTGAACCCATGAACCATAATCAACTCAGGCAGATTCAGGGTAGCCTTTCTTATTGGACTTTGTCGTTCTGGAATTGGTGAAGATTGTATGTGTCGGGGGTCTGAATGTAATTTCTTTACAGTATCTCCAGTGGAAAATCTTGCAGAGCACAAGATGACTACAAACAAGATTATAGGGAGTGTTATATAAAATAAATTAAAAAAAAGAAAACTAAAAAAAAAAAAAAAGATTATAGGGAGTGGACTTCAACAGAGAGCAGAGGGGAGATTGTTTGGAAGTCGTCTAGGCCATGGTTGGCGTCCTGAATACAGGTCATTCTTTGTTATTCATTATGGTAGGTGTCCTAGCAACTTGGTTTAAGTGATTATAGATATTTGCAGGGGTTTGAAAACCAGGATTTCTTTTCACATGCCCTAGAATTCAAAGCTTTGACTCATTTCCACTGGACTTTCTTCTAATCAAGGCTTATCCTTGACTACTTATTTATAATCTTACTCATCCTTAGCAAAGTTTAAGTGGCTCTTCTCTCCAAAGAGAACATAATGAAGGATGGGGAGGACAGCAGGAGGAAATGGTACTTAATCACTGATACTTGTTGTATGTGAACTTGGGGAAAGTTGTAGAATCTACAGCATATATTTATCTGTATCCCTGGCAATATCTGAAATTCACACTTTTCCTGATCTTATCCTGATTCTACCTCTTCTGGCTGTTTAATCTTGGATATGATGCTCGCCACTCTGGGCCTCAGTGTCCTCATCTGGTAAACAAGGACAGTAGCATAGTACTTGCTATATTAAATAAGCATTAAATAATGCATATCAACACCATGGCACATTGCCTGGCAGATCCTAAGTGCTCTATAAATGGCATCCATCATTATTGCTATTATTAATATTGTTATTATTGCTATAAGCTCAGATGCACAGTTGTATGAATTGCTCTTCTGTGGGTTGTGTTAGGATTATGCTTGTCCCAGGACTCTGTAACACAGGGTGAGGCAAATGAGCATGGGATAGTTGCCCAGAGCTCTTTTCTAGCCTTCCTTGGGGACACCTCAGGCAAACATATTTGACTTCACTCATAGACATGACATGAGGCTGGAAACTGCAGATTTGAACTGAACCATCAACCAGAAACTGGGATATATCACACAACTTCAGTGTACCCCCAAAAGCAGTTAAAATTTTTAAACTGCATAATGAACCAAATACAGTTGGGGGCCAGGGGAGAGATAGAGAGAGGCTGACTGTAGTTATCCAGCCGGAAATGGAACTGCCCCTTTATGTTTGTGTCAGGTGAACTAAATCAGAGCTGTGACATGGACACATTGATGTATGTGGAGTCCCCAGGGAAGAAACACAACTATGTCTGTGTGCCTGTGGTTCTTGCCTGTTGCTCATTAGCTATTCTAAAGAGGTGTGTCCTCTGCATCTGCCTCCATTGCCCCACTCCTATTCCCATCCTGGGAATAGACCTATAGACCAGAGCCATCCTAGGGGTCAAGAGATCCAGTTTCATGCATGAAGAGGAATCAAGGGAATAAATGCAGGCTTATTCCCGTGGCAATATCTTCTTTCCTCCTCAAGATGTGTGGGCCAGAAAGCTATAGATAAGATAATGACATTAGTAATGAGTCCCCTTGGCCCTACATGGGGAGAGGTGTCCTTGAGTCTGTGATAGTTTAGTTTTTCACCTCCCCCCAGGCAAAAGCAAGCATTGCCCCATTTAAACTCGTCAGTCTCTCTAATCCTTCCTGTTCCAGACAGATAGTTTTACCTGGAGCCCTTCTCTAGGCATCTGTCCTCAGTAGTCCCCACCCAGACTTGAACAGACCTTTACCCAACGAAGCAGCCAATCTCCCCAGACCTTACAGATCAGGGAGAGCCTTGTTCATTGCTCAAATTCATGAAGATAGTGAGGTATTCTGGCAAGAGAATGAATTCTGGTATTCAAATCCCAGAATTATCACTTACTTAGTTACTGTGTGGTTTTAGGCAAGTTATTCAGCCCCTCTTAGCCTGTTTTTGCACTTGTAAAATAGGATAATAATATTATTACCTCATATGATTCTTGTCAGTATTCTGGTCACTTAGCTGCCAGTAATGCATGCACCTCATGATGTATGAATCCTATGAACATTTGTGCCTTGCCATGGGACAATCTGACAGGTGTCTGAATTGCTGGGCTAGCCTAAGACCTGAACCATGGGTCTGACTGCAGCTTACAAAGAAGCATCCCCATGGTCTACCTACATCATCTCTCTTTGTTGTCCCACAGCTTCTCATCTACCAGAGCAATTTAGATGGACACTATCTGGGGAATGGCTGTTTAAGGGTTAAAGTATGGGTTCGCCTCCCAGAATTGTTCTTGCATTTCCCAAGGCCTATTTTTTTCCAGTCCTCTTCAGGCAAGGAAGAAACAGCTGTGCTCCCCTCTGGAGCTCCAGTGAGTGGCCAACATTTGTCTGCAGCTTCCAGAACATTGGAATGTCCCTTAAATGGTTCATTAGTTACAGTTCCAGGGATGGGCAGGACTGGGGCTGGGAACTGAGGAGGAGCAATGGGAGATGGGCATGGTTATAGCCTCACACCTGCTCTTCCTAATTCCAGGAAATAGAGCTGGCTACTGGCTGGCTGGATTAACAGCATTGAGTATGAAACAGACAATTCTTAGCCAAAAGGGCCTGTGGAAAGAATGGCCATCGACTTCAACAACCCAGACCCTTGGCAGCAGGGGACTAGTACTTCATCCATGGCACTTGCAGTTTTATTTAATTATTTTTGTAATTTCCTCTTATGGATTGACTGAGTTAGGAATCAGCAGCTGCTTTCTTTTTTCTGGGCTGTGCGGAATGTGGGAAGGATGAATTTTACTACCCACAAAACCTCCTGAGGAGAAGGCTCCGCAATAATAGTTTAAGAAGTGAGTAGCATCCTGAGAAGGACGTTCTGGGCAATTTGTGAAATAAAAATGGTGGCAGCATGTGATATAATGAGAAAGAGCTAAGATATGAAATTCTATCAATGATCGATCAACATGGAAACTCAACATTAGTCCCTAGCAAATGATCTCTTTAAAACCAGTTCTTCTGTGTTTACCATGGAGTTATAAAGCACGCACAAGCTGGAGTCTGGACAGCCTTCTGGGCCCTCCTTCTTGGACACTGGTAAGTTAATGGATAAAGCTGTGGTTAGAGTAGCAGTGCTTTGGCCTCATATCCTAGAAATTGCCTTCTACACATTGCTTTCAACCTTATGGTTTTCATCCTATATTGGAGTCTTACACTGATTCTGTTAGAGAGGTAAAGCAGAATCTCCCACCCTCCCACGTGACTATGAGGGACTACATGATGAGCCTATAGAACGTGTATAGAACGTGTATAGAACGTGTATAGAACATGACAGGACTGGAATGTGAGAAATCCTGTGCTCTTTCAACTCATTCTCAGGGTTATTTTAGATTGTAGATTGAGACTAGCAGATTTCAGTCATGCATTCACTCTTTTTCATCTATTTAGTGTCTTTTCTGATGGATCTGATCAGTCCTCAGTCGAAGGATGTCACCAGCCATTGGTGTCTTTCTGTGAAATGTTAAGGGACATCTGTAACAAACCCATCCAGCGTACAGCCGAGAAGCTCTGGGTACCATATCAAAAGCCAAGGACAGCAGACTGGGGCATTGGAATGAATGGGACTTACTCCGACTCTGACCTGTTCGGGCCAGAGACATCCTTTTCTCCGGGTCCCACAGGTATTCAGTCACGATCTGTAATTTCTGCTGCCAGGCATTGCCTGTGGGCTGACCCTGACCTTCTTCCTCCCTTTCTTCCTCCTCCTCTTTTCCTTCCTCCTCTTCTTCCTCTTCCTCCAGACCAGGTACCATCATGACCTGAGCCTCTTCTTCTGCTTCCTCCTCCTCATCTGCTAAGTAGTTCTGATTCACTTCATCCTGATCATCCTGGAGCAGTGACAAAACACAAACCTCTCCATGAAAAAAAAAAAAAAGAAAGGAAGGAAGGAAGAATGAAAGAAAAGAGAAAAGGAAAATCCCAATGGCATATCCCACCAGCCAAACTAAATGAAAATAACTCAATATTTGGAGGTGTTTCAGATTTCCACATCCTCAGAAAAATACACATTGTTGCAGGAGGTGGATTTTCTTTCTCCAATCTTTTGGAGGGAGCATCCTTTCTATAGCTCATATTGAATTATTCCCACAGTTATGCTACATTTTCCTTTCAAGATCAGGTTTTTAGGTTCTTCCTCTATGGCATCTCATGTTACTGCTCTGTCCCGGCCCTTGGCCTCCCAGTTAACTTTGCCCTATCAGGACTGAGCTGAGCTCATACTCAAGGACGGACTAGTCTTGGACATTTATGCCCATGATGGCAACTTCCCAGCTCAAGCCAGCTTTGTCCTAATGCTCTGTGCAGTTTCAGCTGCTTGACCTCACCATCCTAAGTTGCGACTAAAAATAGACTCAGGCAGATAGATATCAAGAGGACAAGCCAACGGCTGTACCCCTCCTCAAAACTTCCACTGCCTTCCCAACACAAACAAAGACTCATTTCCTGCTTCCTGTTTTAAGCTAGATGGACAGACCCCCTGAGAGATGAGATCCCAACAGATACTTCCTTTGTTTCCCCCTGTAGCTTAGTTAAAAAGTTGGCCACACATGGGAGGCCTGCCCCTTTCAGAATGGAGATGGAGGAGTGGATGAGGAGGTGGGTAGATGGGAAGTAGGGAAGGGGAATGGAAGTAGGGAAAACTGTGGTTGGTATTAAAATAAATGAAAAAAAGTTATTTAAATAAAATTAAAAAAACTCAGGAAAAAGCTGGGCACATCCATCCATAAATAACACTGAACAGATTTACTTATATATAATATATTATACATATACATAAAAGTAAGACAGAGGCCATGAATTTGAAAGGGAGTAAAGGTGGGGGCGGTAAATAGAGGTTAGAGGTAGGAAAGGGAATGGGGAAAGAATGTAGTTATATTTTAGCTTCAAAATTAAATAAAAATATAAAAACAAAAGTTGGGCACAAAGTAAGTACTCAGCATATATTTGTCAATCAATTACAGTCAGTACAGTAATCTTTAAATTGTTTTAAGAAAGTTAGACAAACCAGAAAGAGAGGAGGAAAGAAAGAAAAACCAGACATCGCCAGTGGGATTTCATATGCCTCCGATGTAAAGGCTGGAGTCTTGTACCCTTGCTCTTTGGGAGTTTGCCAAGACTTACTGCAACAGCAGAAAATCAGGCCACCCTCCCTTCTCTGTGCTGTCCAAGTCTGAAGAGTGTCAGAGCTGGTGCACCTGTTGGGGTTGGATGTGTCAAATGCTAGAGGCCATGGACTCTGTGCTGCCCCCTTCCTGCCCGATTCCTCAAAGGCCACTTAGAGGGCACTCAGCTACCCATACTGCCTTTAGCAGAGAGTTAAGCAAACTGGATTGTTCAGATCAGTGAAAGTGTTATGGAATGACAAATCTCTGCCCTCTGCACTTAGTCTGCCCAGAGCTCTCTAGCTCTTGATAAACCAGCACCCTTTAATTGCTCTGTAATTTGTTCAAGCGTATAGCTCCACATCACATACCATATCAAAACTTACGGGGGCTTCCAAATTATGATTGTCCAAATGAGCTCCAGAGAGGGGAGAGGATCTGGCCAAAGCCACACAGCAAATCCATGACAGAGTTGACAGTCTCGGAACTTGTGTCTCTTGATAATCTGCACAGTTTCTCCTCCATCACATTGAACACAAGTGGCTAGAAGTGGCTTAGCAGATTCATGAACATGATAATGTCTTAGAGTCTGTGTTCCCGAAATGTAGGTGCTTATAATCCAGTATTTCTGACTTTGACATGGACTCACCGTATAAGGCTTAGGAAAATCAACCCTGCCTATCATTCAGTGCTAAATGAATTGATGCACAGTCTTAAATGTCTCACTCGTGTGTGAACTTATATTCACATTTATCTCCTAAATCAGGCTTTGAACACACAGGTGGAAGGGCCATATTTCCTTATTCTCAGAGTTTGTCACCCTTAACCTCAGAAGTCGCACATATTAGTTTGGCTAGTCACCATAGTCCCTAGAAAAACCATGCACTAAATTCTCCCAGAATTTGAAATGTGACATTTCATCAGGAAGGACTTGAAATCCCTTTATATTTCTGGAACGACTTCCTTTTGTTGCCTGTGCCTGCCTACCACCTCTGCTCTCCAGAGGAAGCAGCTGGTCATGGCCAGGGACTTATTTTATTTGTAGATATGTACTCTCCCAATAATCTTATTAAAATGGCTGTCATTAAAGTCTTATCCTCTCAGGAAGAATTAATCTTGGAGCTTATTTTCCCCTCACAGATTCCTACCACCTGAGCTTTATTTCAGGAACCCAAAATATCTTTTTCCTCTTCCCTGCTTCCAGGGATAGGGATGTGCCACATGCGCAAGACAGGCTTTTCCCGAAGGCTCTTTGTCAACGAAATCCTGTGAAAAAAAATGCACTTCCATGCAATTATTTAACACATTCCAGTAGGAAATGCTTTGTCGATGAGGACGTTCATCCAAGGTTCTGTTTCTGTCAGTTTCCTAAAGTGGCACCACTCTCATGTGATAGGGAGTGTGAGCATGCTCAGATATGGTAGTGGGTGTGTACTGGAGCCCTCATGTTTCCCTAAAAGGGAAGCCTGAAGGACAGGAGGTATCTCCATTTTGAGAAATCTAAATATATAAACAAATATACAAACAAGCAGTATGACCCAAAGGATAAATTTGGATTTTGCACTGAGTAACATCATGAAAACATCTAAATGGCTAGTTAATATAATAGGAAAAAATACAGATACAATTGCATCAATTGATTTATTTTAACTTGATCAGATATTATAAGGAGCAAGATCCCCTGTGGCACTTAAAATTGAAACTTCTGGATGAATAGCTGGAGTTAAATACAACAATTTTAGAAATTCAACATAGAAAAGAAACCAAGTAATACACAGCTATATATATTCAATAGACCGTGACGGGTCTTAAGAGGAAAGAAACTGCAGGTATTAAAATAAAGACTCTACATCACAGCGCTAAGAAATTCCCTTAGTGGTTGGCATGAGGTTAGAAGAATTGTGTTGTTTGTTTTTGTTTTTGTTTACTGCTCAATCTTGACAATTTCCCCTTAATCCCTTAGGCATATAAGTGGCCATATGCGAAGAGAAATGGTTTATGCTATGCTGCTTTCTTTGGGGTTCATCTACCAATCTTCTTGGGTTTCAGAATACCTGGCCTGAGAGTGTTGTATATACATTTATGGTTTAGAGCAAAGTAAATGTAAAGACACATTTGGACCACATTCATTTGTAAAGGAACCTGGAAGTAAACAGTGGTACAGAGGTTATGTGCGGGTGTATGTGCACGAATGTGGATGTATGTGTTTGATGCAGTGAGGTGGCAGACCAGGTGATGAAATGGGTGGGTTGGTGCTTCAAGAGGTTGTATACCATAAACACAGTGGAAAGCGCACAAGCCACAAACAAGATGCACATTCTCATGTTAGGGTCCCCACTATCTTGCAAGTCAGTCTGGCACTCTGTTACTGTCAGAAGGAGGTTATCAGCAACAGCCTCCTTCAACGTAACGAGGGGTTCTGGGGGAATAATGCTTAAGCTTCCTTCTAGTTCCTATCAAGGATGCTGTGATTTTGGCCACAGTTTGAATTTCTGCCTTAGAAAAAGAGCAGCTGGTTCCTAAAAGCCACCACCCAAAGGGACTGGGACAGCTGGCCAGGCAGCGCCTTTCGTTTCCTCTACTCTTTCCCTTTTCTCCTGGCCAGATTTCTTGCAGGGAAACCTCTACTCCCATCCGCCAAAGGTCTGTTCATATTTTAGACTCCTAAGATAAAGCTTATTCCCTAGTATTTTCCCATTGTTTTATTTCTGTCCCCCCACGAAGAGAGCAGCACTCCTTCCATTCAGCAATTTAGGGTGCCCTGGGATTCAGGGAGTCACTTTCCTTCAAAGTCAGGGCTTTCCTAAACTTCGTTTATTCCTCTTTATCCCAAAGCAAAGCAGCCTTAATCCAAGCTCTACACAGCACCCAACCCAACCAATTTTAAAAGGGCAGCAAAATATTCGGCTCTCCGAGACTCACAAGTCTGTAGCGATAACCGTAGGGAAAGGCCGGAGCCCTTCTGGAGCGGAGTTGCCTTCTCATGGCTGTTCAGTGGGCCAAGATGCCGCAGAGGCAGGCGAGTATGGCAGAGTTCTGGAGCTTCTGCTGGTACAGGAGACACTGGTTGCTGGGGACACTTGGCGCCTACTAAAAGTGAACCTTGCTGGCACGAGCCCTTCCCCAAAATAATCTAACATGCTCCTCTCTCATTGGTTGGCCCCTTCCTGGAATCAAAGGAAAGCCCTTTTGGAAAAGCAAGCTCATCATTACAGGGAGGGGGAGATATTCTGGGTCACGAGGATGAGCAACTCACCACCCCCCTTCATGTGCCCTTCCACCCCTTGCCCTTCTCCGGCACCCGAAATATGATGGGCTCAATGGAAATCTTAAGTCATATTCTTCTCAATTGAGAGTTGGCTATCGGTGTGTGTGCAAGGGGTGGGGCATGGATGGGAGTTAGGGTGAGGGGAGATGTCCAAGAATAACTTGCTTTTTTCGTAAGGCTGATCTCATGCAAAAGGATCTAGGGTGTCAGGGAAGATTCCCTTTGCTCTCCCTACCCTTTTCTCCCCACACTCCCTAAGCCACCTATAAAAGATTCCTTACTAGATCAGTTCATGAACTCCTGAAAATGTGCATTGTGCCTTTTAATTTTAGATGTCACGCCCCTGCTTTAACCCTCCCTATCCCAAAGAGGGTATTGGATATAAAGAAGCATTTTCCTAGGCCACATGTCACAGTGGCCCCATCAGTCACTGACCCTCATACACACACCCTTGGAATCCTGGCCAAATTTCTGTAGTGGTTGAGATCTATATTTATCCCTTCGCATCAGGGCAGGGAACAAGGCAGAACTTTGCAGTGTCAGTTTCCCAGACATATATAACTCCTGAAGCCAAAATGGGATCCAGCAAAAGAAAATGCATAGAAACTGCTAAGAACACTGCACAACACTTTGGGTCTGTTTGGTCCACCACTCTGGGGTCTAGGTGGAGTTTGTGGTCCACTCCCTCTGTCCATTTCACCCAAGTGGCTGAGAATATTGCAGAAACTAAGGGTCTGGGCATAACCAAGGCAAAGAGCACAATTACTTAGGTAGATTTAATCATAATTCTAAGTCTACGCTATTCTGGTGACAATAACTTTAGTTTCAGTTAACTTTAAACACTTCATTTATTTTAATGTCACTAATCCAGGCTCTTCCAAGACACCCATGTCCCCACATGTTTAAAGAGAAGCCACTTACAAAAAAGAGAATCCTGCTCCTCTGTTTGAATTTCAATAAAATTAAGATATATTTCAGGGAATAACCTGCACTGGAGTCTAGCTCTGTTTCTTATACTTTCTCCGCTTGTGTTATCCCTGGTGTTGAATGTGATAAACCAGAGGCCCATGGAAGCCTCAAAACTAAATACAGGATCCATTAACTGGGCCTATCTTCCTAGAGGGTGGAGGGATGGCCAAGCAGTAAGAGCACTTTCTACTCTTGAAAAGGACCCGAGTTCAGTTCCCACGATCCATGGCAGGTGGCTCACAACTGCTTGCCATTCCAGGTCTAGATAAAGTGATGCCCTCTTCTGGCCTCCGTGGATACCCACACTTACTTGTGCACCAACGTACACACAAAATCAAATTAATCTTAAGAAAACAGAATCTGATCATTTTAATTACATTTCAAAAATCAGGAGTAGGAGGACAAAAGAAGATTTGGAGTGGCAAAACTTCAAGCAACAAAACATTGCATTCTCCAGAATCTTTTATCCCGATTGGTTTAATGCATACTCAGTCTGTTTGCAATGTATTTCGACTATAGTCCAGACTGTCTTCTGCAGTGCTAACTGCAGGGTTGGTGGATGGGGAAACCAGGTCCTGTAGGATGTCAGAACAAACAAACAAACAAACAAACAAACAAAAAACTCTGAACTCTAGTTAAAAGAGAAGTTGTTGGAGAGATGGCTCAACAGGTAAGAGCACTGGCTGCTCTTCCAGAGGACCCAGGTTGAATTCCCAGCACCCACATGGCAACTCAAATACACCTGTAACTCTAGTCCCAGAGGACTGAACACCCTCTCTGGCCTCCACAAGCATTGCATGCATGTGGTATACAAATATCCATGCCGGCAAAATGCCCATACAAAGAAATAAGAAAAAAAAAACCATTTCTGTCAAAAAAAGAAGGCAACATGCTAAATAAAGACAACATGCTTAGCAGTGCAGCAGAATGCAGCCAACACTGCTCAGTAGAACAGTGGCTGCAAAGGCATGGGAGGAGGAATCAAGATAGGCCTTGAATATGACCATACATCAAAGACAAATTATCCAAGTCTTTAAAACTTCACGCCCCTTCCTTGGCCAAAGTATTAACAGCTGCTTTTTGTCTCCCCCTCCCATAAGATTTCCTACTTATCTGCTCTGGTAAAATTCTATGGCCATTGACAATTGGGAACAGATACAGTCTTCTGGACTGTTCTGTTGTTCTGTCCCTGATAGAGCAGTTTAGAGAATTTTTGACATTACTGTGTGGCATGGGCTGATTCCTCACATCTGTAATCGTGGATAATTTCCATCTAGGTGTGTGTTTGTATGTGAGTAGGCAGTGTACGTCAGTCATCAAAGATCAGTTAAGAACCTTCCCTATGTAGGGAGTAGCTAGATCCCCACACCAGGGGTGAGGAGTAGGGTGAGGGTAGTGTACTGGAGCTCAAGAGTTGCTTGTTTTGGAGTCACCTAGGCACTGTGGAGAATCCCTGTCCCTCAGTATTACTCACCTCTGGACTCATTGGACAAGTCACTTGAACAAGGAAATTATTGGCCAAATTGGGGTCTGAGGCTGTCCATAAATATTTCCTAACAAAGGGTGTCCTTCTTAAAGTGAATAGAAGAGGGAGAATTCACTTGGGGCTACGATGATCAAGGGAGGTTTTCAAGAATAAGCAGGGCTCAGGCCAGACCTTGAAGGGCAGTACTTCAGACTGGAATAGTTACAACCGGACTTTGATGGTGTCAGCCTGGTTCCTGGTGTCCAATGTCTGCCCGGCTCCTGAACAGCTAGCCTCTGAGTAATGGCCAGTAGGCAAAGCCAGCATGCTCACTGGCTAAGATCAGAGGGTTTCCTTGACCTAAATGGTCCAGATTATGGCCTCAGATCCCTATTTCACTGGGTTCCAGGAAAATCCCTTAGCACATCACATTCCAAAGCAGTTTCCATCTGTCGAGTAAGAGATGCCTTTATTTCGAGGGACTGAAGGCCATGGGTTTGTGACTACATAAGACTAGACCCCCAGGGGAAAAAATGAAGGCTTGGGAAATTGTGAAGTCCTTGTGGAAATTCAATCCTATTTCTACTGGCTAAAAGGCACTAATGAGTATAATACAGACAAGAGATGTTGGTTCAAACAAACAACTAATTGGAATTAAGAGAAGAAGTGTGCAGAGGTCCATAATGAATGGATATGCTAATTGGTCTTCTTTGCTAGCCCCTTGGGCTTTGGCTGTGACACAGACTAGCCTATTAGATGCCTGCTCTGTAATAGCTGCTGAACGCTGGGGCCCTTTATTGCCATGGTAACATTGATGTCTAGAGTCTAGCTGAGCCCTGGATCTCTTAATTTACTACTCAGGCGGCTACAATTCTTCGGGTTTTATTATTCTTCATGCCCCGGGTGCCAGAGTGGCAGTGAATCATGCTTATTCATCCTCTGCACCACCCACGGTGTCTTTGAATAAGTCAGGGTGTCTCTTACTGTGTGTGATGAGCAGGTTATTAAGTTAGAGCCTATTTCTGCCTTAGCCAGGCTGGTACCAATCAGAAACCCAATGTGCCTCATAACTGCTTACTTACCTGCTGCCTCAAATGGCCTTTGGTAAGCAGAATGATGGCACTGCAGTGGACCCATAGTGTCCCAGCCTCCCAGCAACCTTTGCTTGCCTGATGAGCAAGGTGGAGTGGTGCACTATAGGTAGGGCAGCACTGACTGTGAAAATGAACCTCAGGAACACACAGGGAAGAAATCATACTCTGAGTCCCTGCTGAGACTGATAGCAGAAGTTTAAGTTTCTATGCGGGAAAGCACATCTCTTGTTCTGAGCGACTCCAAAGGAAGGCAGTAGCCTCTAACAGAAAAAAAAAAATAAATAAAAAATAAAAAAACTGCAGGGTCAACAGATTTTATTTTTGTAAGACTTTTGTTAAACAAATCTAGTCAGAGAGATCGATTCTTTCTTTCCTCAGGTTAGAAAGCAACTTGTCACTGGAGTGGCTCAAACTTTAGTGTCATACAACAGAGGTGTCCTGAGCACTCTCTGCCAGGGCTGAGAAGTAGGAAGCAGGACTTTGCTGCCTGACCTCTTAGTACTTGCCTAAGCTTAAAATGTGCTGTGTCTATGTCTGATCCTGACTGCTTGATTGGGACATATGCTAAACTTGGATGATACTTAATATGCACTCGCACTTTATTCACGAGTACATATGCTAAAATTGGGATGATATTCTATATATGTGTGTCTGTGTCTGTGTCCAGCCATAAGAGAGACTTCGCAACAGGTGCAGACATGCTTTCCTCTATCACTAAGAAATGGGTGGCCTCAAATTAAATGTTCAATTAAACCCCACATTACAAATAGCCATTTTGGCAGAAAAGAGTCTTTGGATTGTTGGTGTGTGTGTGTATGTGTGTTGATATATATATATATGTATATATATATATATGTATATATATGTATGTATGTATATGTATATATATGTGGGGGGGTTCTGTATGTATCTGTGTTGCTGTATATTTGTGTGTGCATGTGTGTTTGTATACATTTGTGTGTATATGTGCATGTGTTGGTGTATATGTGTGCATTTGTTTGTGTGCATGTGTTGGTGCATATTTGTGCATTGGTGCTTATTTGTGTGTATATGTGTGTGTTTATGTGTGAGTTGGTATATATTTGTGCTTATGTGTGTGTTGGTATATATTTATGTTAGTATCCTTATACATATGTATACATGTGTGTATGTGTTGTGTGTGTTTCACTGCAGCATTTTCTCTTTGCATTCTCAAGCTAAAATTGGTAGACTAGCAAGGAAAGCATGGACCACACCCTTTTGGCACACAAGGCTTCTTTCCT